TCAACATATTTACTCATGGGGAATGATCATCTCCTGAATGTCTTTCCTGCTTCTCCCACCAAACACTGATCATGGAATGTCATTACTTGCTAAAGTAAGTGACATGCTGCTATAAAATATGGGCAGCTGTCATGTTGCATAGGATAAGAGTTCCTTCCCCAAGGATATAAACACCATCTTAGCAAGTGCTCTCAAAGAAACTTACACTAAAATATTTGGGCTCCACTGCTACAAAAATAAGAGTTTAAACTTCTCCCACCAAACACTGATCATGGAATGTCATTACTTGCTAAAGTAAGTGACATGCTGCTATAAAATATGGGCAGCTGTCATGTTGCATAGGATAAGAGTTCCTTCCCCAAGGATATAAACACCATCTTAGCAAGTGCTCTCAAAGAAACTTACACTAAAATATTTGGGCTCCACTGCTACAAAAATAAGAGTTTAAAATAATCTCAACACAGTTTTCAAAAAGGGATTTTTCTGTGTGAAATATTGTTGGATTGTAATACTGTACCTTCACTAAGTCTTTCGGCCAACCCGTTCCTATATCCCAGTGTATTGCCTCCATACTCAGCAACCTTCCTACTGTTTGTGTTAGGACCAGCATAGATCACCAACTTCAAAACATAAAATACACTGTTAGACTGTAAAAGAAAAACAAAAAATCTAATAATAATAATACTTAGCACTTACAGAGTGCTTTACAAAGTCGAAGCGCTTCACAAACATTAAGAAACAAATCCTCACAATAGCCTTGTGAGATAGATAAGCAGTCTGGCAAGTATTATTATCCCCATTTTACAGATGGAGAAACTGAGGCAGAGATGGCTAAGTGACTTGCCCAAGGTCACACAGGAAGTCAGTGGCAGAATAGGACTCAAGAGATTCCTAGCTCACAGAGTCCAATGTAGTTTCTAAGTAAAGGGCCAGATCCTGCTCCTTTTGAAGTTAATGGGAGTTAACAATTTGTAAATTAGTTCAATGGAAACGTGATGAGGCACAAAGTTTTAAGTGTTTAAAAGTTACTGGTGACAACCTAGAAGTCTAAATTAGGTACCACAGGACTCAAACTAGAATATTAAAGAACACACAGAAACAAATACTAAGCAGGATAAATTGCTCTTAGATTACACAGAAAATAAGGTTGGTATTTCATTATCTATGTTATTGAAATTGAAGAGGCATATTCATATTAATCCATGTAAACAAGCCATTTATAATCAGAAACTTTTCCTTTCCAGTTCTGCCCAGTTTAAACAAACTGTGCTGATCTACAAAGGAGACAATTAAATGAAAGTTAAATAAATAAGGAAAACTGGATGACAGACAAGGAGAATGAACTCAGCAAGTTCTACAAGAAACAGAAATA